AGACCGAGGTCGTCACTGAGACCGTCGTTGTCTACACCACCGTCTGGGACGACGAGACGACCGCTCAGCCCACTACCACCAGCGCTGGCGAATTCTACGAGCAGCCCAGCAAGCCTTCCACCACCAGCACTGTAGTCATTCCCTCGTCTTCTGCTGTGGTCACTCCCCAGGCTGCTCCTACCAAGGCCGCCCCCACCACCTCCAAGGCTGCCCCAGCCTACACTCCAGTTGTTCCCGAGAAGCCCTCCAGCGTCTACACTCCTCCCGTGGAGACCCCTACTTCCGTCTACACTCCCCCTGCTCCCACCACTCCTGCTCCTGCCCCAGTCTCCTCTTACGTCGCGCCTCCACCTGCGCCTGAGCCAACCACTACCGCAGCCCCCGAGCCTGTCTACTCTCAAGCCCCTGCTCCTGCTCCCTCAAGCGCTGCCCCCAGCTACGGCTCCTCTGGTGGCGTAACTTCTGGTGAATCTTTCGACGATGTCGAGATTACCGTCTACGACATGAACGTTGGTGACCTTGGTGCTTGCGGTGAGCTCCAGACCGATGATTCCAAGGTCGTCGCCATCAGCATCGGTGCCTGGAACGCCATGGGCGGAAGCATTCACGACGTCATGACCGGCGAGTCTTCCAACCCATGGTGCGGAAAGCAAATCGAGATTGAGTACCAAGGCAAGACTGCCACAGCCAAGATCATGGACATGTGCCCTGGCTGCGTCAACAAGTACGACATCGATCTCTCCCGCTCTGTCTGGTCTGAGCTTGGCCTGTCTGAGACTACCCGCTACCACGGCGTCAACTGGAAGATCATCTAAACGTCTTCTTCAGCCACGCCACGATCCATATACCCAAGATTCTGATATCTCGCTAGCGCAGGCAGGGTCAGCGCTTTGCACGACCAAGTTACGACTCATTTTTTCACGCATCAGTCAGGGACCGGTGACCGGAGTATACGGAAAGGGAACCGTCAGATACCGCGGTTCTTGTTCAGCTTTGCTCTTCTAGATTTCGCCTTGCCATCTTGTTGCATAGCAGATCCCATGATGTATATGGGGATACTTTGCGCATTGGAGGGCTCATTCTCACATTTCTTGTCACTCTTTGACTACAGCGGGCTTGCCCTGCTTTTCTTCACTTCCTTGTATAAGACTTTAGGGCTGGTGTATGGGAGAACATCTTAGATACCCATACAAGTTGGACATCGGAGGTTCACATCTACCAAAAGAAAATACATGACGCATTGCGCAACTTCAAATTCTTCCTCATACTGCATTAACGTGAACGATTATGAAAGTCGCATTGTTTGTGCTAACCTCCTTCTACGGCATCGGCAAAACGCTTCACAGTGGCTAATACGACATCCCCTGATAATACGAGCTGAGCTATTAACGAACGCGCAAGCACTCGACTCATGCCGATGCGACGATGTGGCTGCGCCTCACGCCTAGCCACCGTGCGTACTTTGCCAAAAGGAAGCGCCGATGCCTCCGAAAATACAACGCTGGGCCGCAATGCATGCTACCTTCATCCCTCCATCACACTCTCCTAAGCAAGGCTACTCAGCCACAGATCCCAGATGCAGACCGACCTTGTGAAATTTCGATCCGCAAAAGAAATGAGACTTCTGGCCATTTGCGAAGAGTATGTCGCGACAAGCACACAAAGAAAACACTGAACGCCTGACGTCCAAACAACGCTTGCGGCTCGTTTCAGAAGGAACCAAGTTGCGATGTGCGAGGTGTTTGCCCCTTGGTAATCTCATAATGCGCCGGGGAAGGGTCTAGCACGGGGTGTTGGTGCTTTGCTGGGCTCCACATGTTGGCTGTTTCAATAGTGAACACTAGTTTGGTTTTCTCAGTCAGGAGTTTTGTGCGTGTTGAAGTCTCTTGTAGACCGACGTTGTTCCGGCTGAGAACATGACTAAAGGATAACCGCTGCGTTGATCATGTTTTGTTCGCGGTTGATGGACAACGCAACTGCCCCCTTGAGAGTGCCAGCAAGGATGACATCATCGTGACCGTGGGCTAACACCACAATGACCAACAGTAAGGAAAGAACGGAGAGATGTTTGTAATGGCAACCAACACAAGTCAATTGCGTACCAACGTTTCTGAAAACTAAATCCACAGTCGCAACAACTTATCCAGAATGGCGAACCGCCTCTCTCACTCTCTCGATGAGATTGAAGCGCACACTCCCGCGATCAAGTCCCAAGATGCGGATGCCGATGTCACCTCCAAGAACGGCGAGCAGATAAAAGAAGGCGATCATGTATACACGCGGATAAGAGGTGGAAGGCACGAGGGCGATGTATGCTATCCACGCCTGCATCTGCAGCACGTAAGCGTCACAGGCTAGAGCTGACACAATGAGAAGGTAGACAAGATCGTGGCCAACCAAGAAGAAGCTGATGCAGAGGGCGTAAAGCACCCACCAAAGGTATGTCTCCAGAATCTGCTAAAGGAGAAGTAGCGACAACAAGACACTGATTTGATTGACTAGGTGCTATTCACAGACCAGAAGGGGAAAGCTGTAGCGCACAATCCAGGTACACTCGACGTGACGGATAAAGCCTAACGAAACGGTTCAAAGTCCCAGACTATATCCGCAGGCAATATAGGACAAAGGTCTTGTCTCCAGATGTTCCTCACCGCAGCGAAACTTCGGATCAGAAAGAGAAGCAGCTCTAGAGTAAAGCAGAGCGCAGCGATTTCCATATATGATACCTACATTCCATATCCTAAATCTCCAGCATCCGTCTCCAATCCATACCCCCAAAATACCTCCCTGTCCATCTGCACAACGTTTACCCGCCTCCCCAAACCTAACCCTCAGCGCACCCACGCAAAACACCCATCTTTTAACCGCCGGGAGACGCAGCATTCCACGACTCGCTTCTTTCCTACCGAAACCGGTAGCTGAGCTGATGCACCCGGGTGTGAGTTTTACCAGCACTCATCCGGTGGTCAAAAGAAAGTTCCTTTGTGCGCGCGCTGGTTCGCGTGGGAAAAAGCGAGGCGCGTGGTGCCATGCGTTGTCTTATCGAGCGCTATCTCACGTGCGCGCCTTGTGCCAACGTGGTTAGGCACGTGGAGGGCTGCTGTTGGCGAGCCGAGGCTGTGGGTTGCCAGCTGTCGGTGGCGTGGTGGTGGGTTGCGCCCGAGATTCCTCCGTTGGAGCCCGCGTTGGCTGCGAGGAATAAGCAAACATCTCCCACGCTGGATACGAGAATTTTTTGGTAGTGTTGGAGGAAGTAGCTGGGTTGTGACGTATTGGCGGGGTGTTGGTGGGTTTGTTGAGCATGCAGGGTAAGTAGTAATGGACGGCTGCGATGCCAAAAGTAAAGTAAAAGCTGAAAGACTACTGCATATTGTTCGTTGAACACATCTTGGAGTGGTGCAGGTAACCGCTTCAAGAAGCTCCCGACACTTGAATGTTTGTAAAAAATGTCTATTTTGACGAGTTCGCAGGCTTCAGTCACCCCTACGTTAATCTGCTCCTCATAGACGCTCGTTCTTTGCGGCAGGAAAATGTAGTCGTCCTCATTCCTGGAGGATGAGCCACTTTGCAGAGCATGGAGACAGATGCATCATAACGTTTGTTCCGTCCTTGATGTAAGCTCGACAGTTGTCCCTCAGAACATAGTTGTGTTATCAATTGTTTGTGTATTTGTCTCGAATTACAAACGTAGTAGTCCGTATCGCCATACAGTAACCTCATACAGTGCCAGCCGATGGCAGTCTCCCAAATCTTCATCTCGTCCCGAGCATCGATCTTGATGGGTATAGAATGAAAGTAATACCAGTACTTGTCGCTTTTGACCCCAAACGTAGTGTCCCCAATCTCATAAAGTAAATCATCGCAGTCCGCATGCTGTGCGCCTCCAGGCGCGTGTGGGTATATATGTACACCAGCTCATCCGGTGTATCCGGGTCCGAGCCTTCTTTTATCGTCGCGTCATCGTGCCTTCTGGATCTATGCGAATGCGCTGGCACCACCAGACTCGAGCAGTTCGATCTCGGCCATGGTCATGGACGGGCTCTGGAAGCGTGCGGGCAGCTCGGAGCGATCGAAGTATAGGCCCTTGCCTGCCTCAATGGGGCCCAGGTTCCTGCCGGCTGCGCCGCCAATGTGGCCACCAACAAAAGCGCTGGGGATGTGGTTGAGTGGGCCGTGTTGCTGCGCCTTCTTGCGGTAGGACGCGAAGGATGAGGGAAGCTCGCTCATGGGAGAGGCAGGGTGGACGTGCGGGGTGTGGTCAACCTCTGAAACGCAACGTTAGCTATTTATTGTGACGCCGTGTAATGGCAATGCGTACTCTGAGGAGTGCTGCGCTTGCCCAGGAAGCGGATCATGGGCTGGCGAGCGAGGGCGCGTGTAGCATTCATTGTGAAAGAGGTGAGGTGGGGTTGTTGGTGGTGGTGTGATGTGCAGGTTGCGATTGGGATTGGAATCACTGAAAAGCTTGCGCAGAAGACTTCAGATGATGTTTTGTATTAGAGAAGCGAAGCAAGGCGATCTCGGGACAGATGCTGGCGGATGGACGACTTGTTGAGTTATTGAGGAGCAGTTAGGTTGAGGGGAGCCGCATAAATGTTGTTCGCGTTTGCGGAAGGAAGACTAGGTTGCGCCGAAGGCCGCCATGATTGCAAACCAACAACCCTCCCACTCACACGTGAGCGGCATCTCCCCACACTCGAATGAGCAGATGTCAAGGCAATGGGTATTTCTAAGCCAATTCCAGCGCAAGCCTCGGCGTTTGTGGGCTTACGCGCAACACTTGGAGTCGTTCTTGAACGTTCGCGGTCATAGCTCCCATGCCGCCCCGGTTGTCTTTTCCAAACTTTTACAAGTGCATCGCTCGCCGCCAATGACAACGCTGCACACGCCCGCTCGCCTTATCACCCCGCCGCCTTCTCCAGATCCTGACCAGCGGGAATTGCATATTGATATTCGCTTCTCCGACTGCGGTGCGGACGTGCGGACCCGACCTGCTCACCATGCACGAGTTGAGCCTCTACGGCCAGGTCACCTTTGCGCGCTATGAGCAGGTTCTGAACATCCTGGCGGGGGTCGCCATGATGCAGCCCCAGCGCGTCTTTGAGCGCCATGTCGTCTACAAGCCCACGCGCGAGCCTGAAGAGCCGGGCTCCAATCTTGGCCGTCGCGGCGGTACCCAGACTGTCGCGCAGAAGCAGGCCAAACAAGCTGCTCCCGTCGTCCTCTACCACACCCGGCTGGTCCAAAAGCTGTCGGAAGACGACTTTGCTGCTGAAGATGGCGTGCCGGAGGAGAGCACAAAGGCCCTGTCCGCTGAAGTAGACGACGGGGAAGAGCCAACATGGTCCTTCGTGTTCAGAGATGTACCGGATACTGGTGATAGAGGTGTCTCCATCCGCTTCACCAACACTACTGATTTGCTGTCTGGCGATCCACATGCCTTCATGATCGCCTCGGGACCCAACCAGTGAGATCTTCTCCCCGTCGCTGCCTTCACCTCTAACCCTAGCGCAGGTTTGTGACCGAGTTCTACATCGAGGGCTACCGTTTCGTGCTCGGTAACGTCGTCATATTCCTCCACCGCATCCTCCACGAGCCCGGCATCCGCAACGTCCAGAAGAGCCCCAAGGCCACACTACCGACATGGAAAGGCCTGAAGCTCCTCGACCCAAGTGGTGTGTACACACTTCAAGCTACGGTCCGTATTGAAGACTTCAACAACGCAGCCGTACTCGAGGAGGGGGTGAACGAGTTGAAGAAGTTCCAGGCGCAAATGAAGGGTTGCGTGAACTTGGACTTGCCAGATCGGCTCGCACTAGACCCCCGTGTCAAGTACAAAGCTCCTGCAGCTCCTGCTACCCAAGCACGGCCTAGGTGATGAACAGTCTCTTACTGACCGAGAGAAATGGACATGGACTGGGTATTCTCCGGATAGTAGTCACCATGCGAAGGTTGAGGGTACTTTAGACACCATGGGTCTGGTTACGCTCTATGAAATGATCAGCGAGAAATATCAACGCCGGAGCGTTATATTAGCCCAAGAAACCAAAGTATCGTGATGGGATTGCGCCTCGGATCAGGAAGCTGGGCAGGTTCGATCTTCTGGTGTGTATCTGGTCTCAGACGAGTGAGTTTCTTTGTATATACAAATCATCAGTTTTAGCTCGATGGAAGTAGCTTCTGGATGAACATTAATGGTATATTGTAATAGACAGAGCATTGCAATGTTTGTGGCGCGATCGCTGCCAAAGAAGCGTGTATGCTGCTGTCGTGACAGCGAGTTCAGTCCAGGCACGTGCCCGCGCGATTTCGCGTTTCGCGCCGAAGGAAAGCGCAAGCGAGCAACCTCACCGACGTTGCTTTGTCAACAGAGATCAACCTTCATCGCCATGCACCCACCCTGGCAATAACACAAATTGCAAAATGTCCACTCGACCTGGTCTCAGCAAGCGACCGAGCTCTAACGGAAAAGACGTGTCGCCACCTCCATCGAAGCGGCGGCAACAGTCGACTACAACAAGTTCGTCAGCCATCACTCGATGTGCGTCTTTGCTGACATGCCTCAGGCAAAGCAGTCGCCAATTTCTTTACACCTGCCTCGAAGAAAGAGCCAGAAAAGATGACTTGGCGGATAGTCAAAGACAGCTTGCTAGTCGGACGTTTTGGCGTGGCAGCGCAGTCGGCAACGAAGGGCAGGCGCAGAATAGCAGCCTTTGACTTTGACTCAACACTTGTCACATCTGCATCGGGGAAAACATTCGCTCGTGATGCAAATGACTGGAAGTGGTGGGATAGTAGCGTTCCAGGACGGCTGAAAGAGCTTCATGCAGAAGGCTTCCTTGTCGCTATCGTCAGCAATCAAGGTGGAATCAGTCTAAAGCCGGATCCCAAGACCGTGAAGTCAGATCAGAAGCGACTAGCGGACTTCAAGACGAAGGTGACAGCAGTCTTCAACCATCTCGACTTTCCGATATCGATATACGCTGCGACGAGTCGTGACCGGTACAGGAAGCCCAGGACCGGGATGTGGGACGAGCTACTGGAGGACTATGATCTTGAGAATGCAGAGTCAATCGATCTAGAAAACTCTGTATTCGTTGGGGATGCTGGTGGTCGCGAGGCGGTGGCTGGCGGTGTAAAGGACCACTCATGTGTCGACAGGTTTGTGAAGATCCCGAATCGTGCATTCATGATTACCAGGATACTAAGTCTATGCAGAGACTTTGCTGCTAATGTCGGTATACCATTTTATACCCCAGAAGAGTACTTCCGCCATGAAGATCTCCGACCATTCGTCAGGGCTTTTGACCCGACCGCTTATACGGGAGTGCGTGCTGAAGGCTCAACACCTGCACGTAAGTCTGATATGCAACCTCTCAGCCGTCTCCCCGTCGTCCGTGTGCTAACTTTATCTGCAGAAAACGCCTTTGCACAAACGGAAAGCCCCGAGATCGTCATGTTCTGCGGCAGTCCGGGCTCAGGTAAATCATCGTTCTATTGGAAACATCTGCAGCCACTCGGATACGGGCGTGTCAATCAAGACATTCTGAAGACTGTACGTTGCTGACTGAGTCATCCTGCCGCACGTGTCGTGCGACCCTTCTATACTCCGAGTAACACTCTGAAACAGCGCGAGAAGTGCGTAAAGGCTGCTACTGCACTCATCGAAGAAGGCACGAGCGCGGTTATCGGTATGTTCATGTTGATCTGGGGCCCCAATACATTCCGCATACTAAGCTAACCTGTTCAGACAATACCAATGCCGATCCAGAAACACGCGCTGTGTGGGTTATGTTGGCGCAGAAGCTGAAAGTTCCCATCCGCTGCGTACTTTTTACCGCGACACCAAAGCTGTGTGAGCACAACGACACGTTCCGCGCATTGAACCTTGGCCCAGAAGTAAGTTTACCTACTGAGCCTCTTCCTGTGCGTGAGTGCCGGAAGATAGACTTTGCGATCGCTTCAAACCTACCATCACACTATCCGATGTGGAAATTGGTTGTGCGGAACATCCGGAATGCTTGAATCCCATTACCACACGGAGAAACTCCCATGCTAACATCGGATCTCCACCCCAGACGAACCGCGAATCTCGTACTATCCTGCCGCACGTTGCGTTCAGTGGCTTCGCTTCCAGATACCGTGAGCCTAAGCTTTCGGAAGGTTTCGCAGACATAATCAAGAACGATTTCGAGGTACGCGTAACCCAAGACTTTCCACGCAGGCTGGGCTGCAGAAATGTAACATGGACTAACCAAAGTATGCATTGCGTAGTTTGAAGGCTCCGAGGAGCAGAAACTACTATGGAGCAGATACTGGCTCTGACCTCATCATAATCGAGAACGCGAATGCGAACGAAAGCGAATCATGTGACTAAGAAATGTCCCCAATCGCAACAATTATTGGCAGCTACGTAGCCTCGAACGCGTCTTCATCGACCACTGGTGTGTGGACAGAAAGTCCGAAATGCTGTGATTGGGTGAGAAGAGAATGTTGCTGAGGGGCCGTCCCCCGAGCGCAGGTTCGCAGCTCTAGTCTACGCCTTCTTCCTTTTCTACGCCGTTGAGCGCGTGGCTCCCGTGCTAATCGAAAAACGGCAGTTCACACGCACAGATTCTTGATTTTCAGTGTGAAATTGCTTACTTTTCTTCCAAGTTTCTGCAGGTATATCACGATTGTACATGGACATCGCTGTAATGCTACTCCGTACTGCCGACAAGAAGAAAAGCGCGCAACAGCATTGACATGGAGGAATATTACATCATTGTTTCCACAAAGTCGTGTGCTGATTCATCTCGTGCGTCCAGCTAAAATGATCCCCGTAGATGGACTTCCACGTTCGTCGTTACCCCCATGTCCCATGTCCAAGCCGCGGCATTGTACTGTCGGTGGAGTGCCACGTTAGTCTAGGGAATCATCCGGTGAAATTGAGAGATCAGCAACACCAGACCGGTCTCGCCCAAATCCTGCGACGAACCGTCGGAATGATTGCGCGCACCTCCACAGCAAAGCAGTTCAATATGGCAAAATGCAGTCTTTGGATGCGAGCAAAGTGCGCGCGCGCATGTCAATATGAGCCCGCCACGTGTTTGTCCAGAACACGCAAAATTTTCAGGTACAGGAATTTCTTCTTCCGTGTGCAGTCAGCTTTAAGACTGAACTGGCTGTTCTTTCATGCACGTTGAGCGTTGCCGGCCGGTGTGGATGGGTGGACTGGCAACGGTATTCTCCCGCTTCTGCATGTCCGTGCCGTCCGGTCGTCTGGCCAAGGAGAGAGACGAGCGAAGAAGGCGGGGCGCCTGCCGACCTGAGACCGGAACCAGCTGCTTTTTCTCCCTGTCGTCATGCTGCGAGGTCCCGAGAGCCTGGAACAGAATAGTCCTGCTCCGGTTTTTCTTCTGCTGGGCTCGATCGTGAGGTACAGCACGGCGATCAAACCGCGCGATTCTCTTCGAATTGAAACACCCTGATTACATAGCATCGTGAGTCGCGAAGTACATGTCGGCAAGGTTGCCGGCCGCTATGAGAAACGCCATACGGGCGGACGTTCAGCTAGACAATGCGCTGGCGGTGTGAGGCTTGCTCAGCGTGCGAACAGGGAGTCGAGCCAAGCGACAGCAAGGCACCGGGGAGAAGGAATGGAAGATAGTGCGTCAGGGGCTTGAACGCCAATGAGCAACGGCCCAACGGTCTAGCGCTTCCATCATGTTCCCCGATTTGTCTGGAGGATTTTCATTGGGCTGAAAGGCTGTCCCAACCTCCTCTGGGAAAGTTCCGGGAATCCTGTCAGGTACCGCCCACACCGAGTTGTGTTGTCGCGCCTTGTTTTGTCGCAGAACGTTTTGATCGACCGCTTGACTCGTCAATGAGGCATCGTGTTTGAGACACGGACTGAGTTGGATCAGTCAGTGTTTTGAAGATCGTGAGGCTTTGTTTGTTTGTTTTCACGGTTACATGCCACAGCCTCCTTGGCCCATTTTGACGATTCAGAGTGGGCCAATCGGTGGATGGGCGTGACACGGGATAGAGGCGGGAGAAACGACATGGAATGGACTCTACTAGAAGATGCCTGTCGATGTCACTGCTGCGAGACGGCAAAGGGCCAGAAGAACGGCGCAAGAAGAACGGCGGGAGAGGGCAGAAGGGCCTGGCGAACCACGCCGGTTCCTTTGCACCGCCCGATAAACGAGTCTGTCAAGTGGCAGCCACGGTTGCGCTCACAGTAGTTGAGTGGTAGACAGCGGATGACAACCACAGCGCTGGTGGTACGGCACTTTGCAATACAGACGAGGCACCGTTCAACACCACGAGTCGTCGATCGGTCAAGGTTGGAGAGGACGATGTGACTGAGCGTTTGTTCCTGCATAGTTTGCTCAGAGGCTTTTCCCACGACGACAAAGTTTAAAGTGCGTGAGTGGGAACGGCCAGGGATGATTTGTTGCGCCTCCACCAACGACATATCGCATAATTAGGTTGGGCAGGTGAAAATTCAACACCGAGGCAGGCCCCGTACTGTTGAGTAGGGTTTGATTCAAGCCACCTGCTGTGGTCAGGCTGTAGCGACACGGACGCGGTGGTCTAAACGGCGGATTGAAGGCTGGGGGACCTTGAAGCGACGGCGCCCTGGCGTGCTGGCTGCGCGGAGACAGTCCAGGGCTGGTGTGAGTGTCACGGCCTCGTGTACCGGGCTATCTGAGTCGCGCGGAAGCAGTCGACATGCCGGGCGGCCATGCCCAATCGAGCCAGGCGCAAGGTCAGGCATGAGTTGCACCGTAGCAGTGGAACCCGTGCGGTCGCTGTCCACACAGAAATGCTCGACTATCCCACACCCCGTCCACCGCCCGTTTCTCTTGCTTGCCCACGTCACACTCTCTCGCC